TCATAACTGAAATAACCAAAATTATACTACTGAAGGTAACAGATATATTGTAACAAAAATATTATAACGAAATATAACCAAATATTATAGCCAAATTAAATAAAATATTACTACTGAAATAATCAAAATTGCATAACTGAAATATAGCCAAATAACATTAGTGAAATAATGTAACAGAAATAGTATAACCAAATATTATGCCAAAATATTATACCTGAAATAACAATCAAAATCCCATAACTGTATATAACCAAATAACATAACTGAAATTATGTAACCTGTTTGTTCTCAGTGTGGGAGCTGTCCTTGACCCTCATCCTCCCTCAACTCTCCTTTTCATGACCCCCACTTCCTGTCCTGGCTCCTCACGTTTTCAGTATCGTTATTCCCATTCAGGAGGGCCACGAGATTACATGTGATCCCTAGTCTATTCCACTGTGAATTCAGCCTCAGGTCTCTAACCATTATGCCCAGGATCTCAGTGCTCCAAATCAGCTCCCTGCTGAGATTTCTCCATCATCTCCTTGTGGGATAAGTTGACACAGGATAATCTGGTAGATGGTACGAGAGGGTCTCTGACTGCAATTTCCAGAGACACTGTTTGTCCAATAGGCCTCTTGCCCAGTCCCTGATCTCAGCTGAATGTCCCCTCCTTGGTCCTTGCCAAATCCCAGGGGTTGAATTGGTTTCTCTCTTAAGGTCTTCTTCCTCTGGTCCAGGACTCCTTCTAAAGTCTCTGTTACATCATCCACCTTTCCATCCTCAGTCTCTGGAGGCTTTGGTTTCTCTGGTTGTACTTCTAACTTACTGGGGGATTCTTAACCCAGGATACCCAGAGGCCCTGGGTGATCTTTGTTGGTTGGCTGGCACCCATGTGAACCCTAGAAATAGTGATTAATTGGCGTCTTTGGTTCCATGTTCTTGCTGGACTCTCCGTCCTGAAGGTGTGATGTGAAGCCAGGGCTGGATGGACGATGCCTTTCTGCAGCTGCCTGCAGCTTGGGGGAAAGGCACTGGCTTCTTGCTGGGGAGGGGGCAATGGCGTGAAGTGGGCAGGGGCTACAAGGAGAGCAGGAAAATGCCATTAGAGTTAGTGGAAGGCATACCCCCTTATATCACAACACAAGGTTCTCTGATAGAAAATCACTATGGAAGATCAGCAGTGACAAAACCTGAGGGGCGGTGACTTCTGCTACTTGTTTGGAACTCTTGAAATTCCTGATATATATACACGTGTGTGTGTGTGTGTGTGTGTGTGTGTGTGTGTGTGTGTGTGTGTGTGTGTGTGTGTGTGTGTGTGTGTGTGTGTGTGTGTGTGTGTGTGTGTGTGTGTGTGTGTGTGTGTGTGTGTGTGTGTGTGTGTGTGTGTGTGTGTGTGTGTGTGTGTGTGTGTGTGTGTGTGTGTGTGTGTGTGTGTGTGTGTGTGTGTGTGTGTGTGTGTGTGTGTGTGTGTGTGTGTGTGTGTGTGTGTGTGTGTGTGTGTGTGTGTGTGTGTGTGTGTGTGTGTGTGTGTGTGTGTGTGTGTATCCAGCAAAAAGCCTGCAGTTGAATTATACCTTCTTTCAAACTGAGCCAATCCTATAAGACATAGTTCTGAATTCATCTTCCCCAACTCTCCTTTTCCCCAGAACAGACAAGGCTCATCACACACTTCAGCATGGAAGAAGACTTACAGGATTGTTTTAGCACAACCACTTGCCCAGGCAAGAGATGCTTAAGCATTTCATTAGAGATCTTTCCTTAACTGAAGTAAGTCCAATTACAAAAGGAAATTCCAACAAAAGAAAGCACATCTTGGAGTGCGATGCTAGACGGGTGATGGTTTTCTGTGAGTGTGACTTGCATTGTGACTTCTCCCAGTACTCTGTGCACTTGCTGCCTTATGTTCCTGTTGCTGTCACGGTATCAGAGACCACAAACCCCTCAGGCTTCCTTTTGCCCATGGAAAATGAGACCTGGATCATGTCCTTCCTGGACCCAGCTCAGTGTAGCCTGCTTTGTGTCAGAGCGAAACACAAAACAACCTAGGAGTAAATGTTGGCGCTTGCCTTCTTCCCTTCCAAAAGCTATACGAAGAGAGTCTCCTATCCAAAAAGGATAACTTCAGTGTTTTCCATATGGGTGCATTTAAAAATGTCACCTATGTGGGCGACTGTGACCAGTGATAGTCATGCATATAGAGATTAGAAATGCATGTGAAAACGTCTCAATGTCAGTTGCTTTGGAATGAATTCTTCTGTATGAAAAAAAAAATTAAAAAAATAATGATTAAAAAATAATAATTAGTAGATGTGAAAAACATTACCATTGAAATCTACCTGATGACTTTATATCCATGCTCAGATGCCTAGAAGCTCAGATGCTGTCACGGTATCAGAGACCACAAACCCCTCAGGCTTCCTTTTGCCCATGGAAAATGAGACCTGGATCATGTCCTTCCTGGACCCAGCTCAGTGTAGCCTGCTTTGTGTCAGAGCGAAACACAAAATAACCTAGGAGTAAATGTTGGCGCTTGCCTTCTTCCCTTCCAAAAGCTATACGAAGAGAGTCTCCTATCCAAAAAGGATAACTTCAGTGTTTTCCATATGGGTGCATTTAAAAATGTCACCTATGGTCAAACTGTGGAAGTTGTTACCTGGACAAGAATTTCTGAGAGTTTTCTTTAAAACAACAACAAGGCTAGGATTGTGTGATGAATTCAACTGGAGAATTGTGATTTCAACACTTTCTTTACCTCAGCAGTGCTCAGAGCCTTTACTATGTTCCTGTGCAAGAGGAAATGCCAAGATAGGAGACAAGCTCTGCTATCTCTCTGAAGTGCTTCCTCCTGTGTCCACACAGCCCTGGATGTATCCTCAGGGACCCAACGGTTGAGGTTGCCCACTCTTTCAGAGCCCTTAGCCAGGATCTCCACTCACCTGTCCCAGTGCAACCCCTTGCTCCACGACCCTGCCAATGGTTCCCAGGCCTGGGAACCTAAGGGGTGCCCTGGCGTACCCGGCTCCACACCCAGTGGTGTCGGTTCTGGTTCTGGATCTGATAGGGAAATGCACATGTGAGTCTAGGAGGATGAGCCCAGCCTTTGTTCTTCTCTGGCTATCCCCCTGTCCACCCACTACTACCCTGTCTGTCCCCAACAGACCTCCTCACACAACTCTGGAGTGACCCAGGCTCGGTAACCCATGGCTTGGAAGAAAGCCTTCTGCAGTTTCAGGAAGTCCTTGTACAAGTTTTTCCAGGTCTCCTTTCCGAGCAAGAATGGGAAAATGTTCCTCTTGGATGTGAAGTCATCCTCTTCCATGTCACAGGTGATGTAGCTGCCACAGGGACGGGGGGAAGTGTGCCTGTCCCTAATCACAACTCCCAGACTCGTGCAGGGCAAGTGGGAGAGGTTACAGTGGTGGAAGGGTATGACCAAGAGACAGGGTGTGGGAAAGCAGTCTCTGCAGTGTGACCTGAACCTACAGGCTTCTGGGGCATCCTTGACACTGAGGCTGCAGTGTCCATTCTGTGCTCAGTCCCGGGAAATAAAAGGAACTCACTATTGTTTCCCAGGGGCTTCTTCACTCAGGTGACTCAGTCTGTGGGGGGGCTAGTGGTGTTTCTCAATGACTGTTATCATTCTTTCCTCCCTCTATCACCTTTCATTGAGAACTGGTCCCAAGGAGGTGCTTACAGTGCCAGGAAGAAGTGGATCCTGTTATAGAGATGTCCAGGCAGCCCAACTCGGCCAAAGTACTCCACCACCATGGACAGCATGTACTGTGTGCAGACAGAGGGCCAGTGAGGGTCATAGAGCAGTGGACAGACGGCAAGTCATCTTAATCATCCCCTGAGACCTTCTTCATCTAGTCGCTACACCCCAATGACACACAGATTTACTGAGGGACCTGTCTGTTAGCCTTGTGTACGTGAGCTGATGGCAAAACCAGGAATGAGCTTTGGAGACAGAGTAGGGATGGACAGTATGTCTCTCTTTCCTCTGTCCTTGAGCAGAGCCCTGCAGGGCCTGGCCTGGCACAAGTCTTATCTTTTCTGCCTATCCTCGGGCCTGTGACTCGAGACCTCTGGATCACAAGATCTTCTGCAAAGGAAGGAAGAGTGAGGAGGGCTTGGAGCATCTGTCTGGGCTGAGTGTGCAGTGTGGGCTTCCCTCTTCAGGGATGCTTTAGAAGGAATGAGTGTTCTGCAGTCCTCTCCACCAGAGCTGGTCCCTGAGAGGAAGCAGCTTCCTCCCTCCAGGAAGGTCTAAACTTTACCGTCAGGATTAGAACTCGTTTCTTTCATCGACGCACCCAGGTTGTTTTTCATGCTGAATTTTTCTGTTAACTGATTCTTCAACATGGTCAGTGATGGGATTTAGTACTTTTCTTCACTGAAGAAATTTAGCACAGATTTCAATGTTTAAAAAATTGTATGCAAGTCATAATCTTGGATGTGGTCTTCAGTCTCGACCCCACAAGCTATGACTTTACCATGTTGAGAATGTGCCAAGCTCCCCTGCCTATGTGATGGCTGAATCTTTGGGAAGAGATGGAGAGTTCATCATTCCCTGCTCCCACAGGAGCTTCATCCCTTTTTCTCCCTGAGGTAATGAGGGACTCATTCCTTTATCCCTTTTCTCCCTGAGGTAATGAGGGACTTTCCCTTCCCCACAGGACTCCATCTATAGTTAGCATTCTTCCCTGGAGGCACCATATTTCTGGTGAAGAACTGAGAATATGGGGTCCTGGGTGATAGAGTGTGTGAACCTCAGGAGAGACATATGCTTCACTAGAGGAGGCCGTAAAGGCATAAAATCATTAGAGTGGCCAAACAGCTCTAAATTATAAAAACATAAAGTTCCCCAGATGACTAAACAAGCTACAGCTATAGATTGGCAGTTTGGCCTTGCTTACAGCTTATCAGTTGGTCATTCCTGGGACTGAGAAAGACTATTTGTGGAGCCCACCTGTCTCCTCTACGTTCATAGATAACATGTCTACCAAGTCTGAGAAAATAATCTTAAGAAGAAGACCCTCACTCACTCCAAGGACATCAAACCAGGGCACTAATTCAACTCCCCACAAAGTACATCTGTGTCTCACAACTTTCTTATAAAAACCCCTGATTTCTTTGTCTAGTTTGTAGATGATTGGTACAGTAGTAGCCTCTACCTCTTGCTGTGTCTTCTTTGAATAAAGGAAGATATATTCCTTGCCTGTTGCAGGTCTGGTTCTGGTTTCTTGTCTCCTACTCCTCTAGCTTTCCTTTTATTCTCCAAAAATCTAACAACTGTGTGTCCTTCACTTCTTGCCCTGAAAAATGACCCTTGTCTTCTCCAGTCTCCCTACCCTCAGAAGAGCAGTGTTTAGTGGAACTTGCTTTACTGGTTAAAAAGTTCTGTTCCTCTGATGACTACATGGTAGCCCACAGTCTCCTACAGGTACTGAGCATTGGAAATATAGGTAATGAGACTGTGGAGCTGAACTTAGAAAGTCTGTTTAATTCATTTAAAACTAAGAGTCAATAGGTGCATGTGGCTAGTGGGTGCTATACTTGGTAGTGTGGCCTGGAAGTTGTCCCCAACCATCCATACCTGGTTCCAGCTCTGGTCTTGACATCATCTTATACAGGCCTTCTGTGACTCACTTGTTTTATAAATGTCTCCTGCCTTCCCTCATATCTACCTCTAGGTTCCCTCTTGACCCTCTCCTTCTAGGCAATTATTAAGACCAAAAACAATTTATAATTTTTATCTCTAATAAATTTATCATAATTTATAATTTTTTATCTCTGATGCTAGAGCATCAGGAAAGCAAGGGATCATTTTTCTTTTTTTTTTCACCAATCTCAAATATCTTGACTATCGTGTCTGTGTGTGGCGAAGTGGCCCTTCCCTATTCATGTGTGGGCCTGTTTTCTTTTCTCCAAAGACTGGGCTCAGAAAGGAAACTCCTCATAGCTCTATAGAGCCAGGGGACCTTGCGTGCCTTCACTTGGAGGTTCATGAGCACTGTGGGGGGTTTTGAACCACCGCCCCTATCCTCATCTCAGTTTTAAGAATTGGCCCCAAGCATGCATTTCCTTAGAGAACCCACCCAGTAGCCGATAGAAGGCTTCTTGGTCCTCAGGGTGGTAACTGGGTCTCTTCTTGTTTACCCAGAGTTTCATCCCTTCAATATGGTCCACAGCCCATATGCTCCTCTTCTGTGCCCTCTTGCAGAAGATCAACTCTGAGACAGAGTCAGTGGTGGCTGTGCTGGAGGTAGAAGGGCTGCTTTCCTGGGCAGCTGTGGGTACAAAACTCCAGTGAGCATGCATATAGCCCAGCTGGGAACTCCTGGCTATTACTTGGAAGTTTAGGCCTCGCCTCATGAGGACAATGTGAGAAGTAGTAACTCACCTCCATCTGGCTCTTCACAGGGACAAGGAATTCAAGGGACAATGGTGGATACCATACCTGCGTTGGCATCGGCTAATTTCTTTGTCTTCTGGCCTCTCTTCCTCTTGGTCCTCTGCTTAGGGATGACCATTGCTGAGGCATCCCAGAAGGCCTGAGGACTGCCAGCCTGTGGAGCTGCAGGAAGAGAAGACCCCTCATGATCATTACCTGCTTGGGCAATGCTGGGCTCTTCCCTTCTCACACACCTTGAGGAATTTTCTTTTTTTAAAAAAGTATTTTATTTATTATTTTTGTTTTATGTGTATGCGTATATGGCCTGCATATAGGTAAGTGCAACACATCATGCAATGCCCATGGAGGACAGAAGAAGCTGTCAGATCCCTAAAACTGGAGTTACAGATAGTTGTTAGCTGCCATGTGGGTGTTGGGATCGAACCTGGGTCTTCTGCAAGGACATCCAGTGTTCTTAACCACTGAGCCATCTCTCCAGCCCCATACCTTGAGGAATTTTCATGTGACATCTGAAGACATGACAGGAGTGGCCCTCACCCCCTTTACACTTAAGCACAGCAGAAGGTAGGAATTCCTATGTACCTTTCTTTGCCAAACAATCGCTGTCCTCTGGCACCTCCTTCCCTGGATTGTTCTGGCTATAGGACACCTCGATGGAGACAAATGACTTATCTGATCACCTCTCTGCCATGGCTATGAAAGTGAACAAGGGGGTGACCTCCTGGCTCATCACCCTTGCCTTACCTGTATATGCTGTTCCATCCATCATTTGGAGACCAGGGAGCAGCGGCCAAGGGACACACACACACACACACACACACACACACACACACACACACACCTGCATTCCTTTCCATGAGCAGTTTCTTCCATCCCCTCTTCACTGGATTCTGATCCCTTAGTGAAATGTCTGAGACAACTGGTGTAGACATAAAGGAATCCTGTCCGCTCTCAGTCTCCAAACAAGTAAGGGATCCAACTTGATTCCAACCAGGCTATTTCTTTCTGCTTCACCTTTTTTTCTCTAAAAAGAAATAATATTAAAGCTTCAGTAGTAGTTTAGTCACTAATGTTTTTTTTTTTTTTTCTTTTGAGGTGATAGGAATTGAACCGAGGCCTTCACATGTGCTAGGGAAGCACCCTATGACTGAGCTGTGTCCTGGCAGGTCTTGATTCTTCATCGAACTTTGGGATTTAATCTGTGCAGACAGAAGACCTCACTTAGTCCTTGTAATCTGCAGGTAACGATTATAACTCACCTAGTTTATAGATGAGAAGATGATTCCTGGGCTTGCCTAGGGTTTGTCCCTTTCTATGGCTAGACCATTTGTAGATTTTGGGTCAGAGCTCAGGTGTATGGAGTGCTAACAGGAGGAATGTTGGCTGAGCATCTGCCATGTTTCCAGTAGGAGCAGGCAGGATGACCTTACGTACTTGCTGTCTTTGTCAGCATCTCTATTTACATATCTCTAATAACAACTATAAATTCACATGTAATTAAGTCTAACCCAAAGCTATGGTCATAGTGACCCAGCCACCTTCCACGTTGCCCCCTCTCAAGGCAGTCATTGGTGGACTTCCGTTTTCACTGTCATCCCTTTTGCTCACTTTCCCTCTCATTCTCTCTTTTTCCCCAATCAGAAACCTGTTTCTGCTCCCACTATGTCATCAGTTGTCCATCGGGAGACTTGTTCAGGTGTTCCCTGACTCATTGGGGGACTCCTCGAAGGAACACAGTTCAGGATCTGACATTCATTATAGTGTAGCACTAGGTGAACTTACCCTGTGCAAGCACCTGCTCGACTTTCAGGATCAAGGACCTCAAAGCTCTCTCACACGTACCCAGAGCTCAGTCTCACAGCAGTGAGAAGAGCACTGGCTGTAACTAAGTGTTTGAGATCAAACATTCTGAAGGCACCTGTGACATCACACTATTCCACCAGAGTCTGCTCTCTGCTCTGTTAAAGAAGCAGCATCTGAGGGAAAGACCATGGACATGAAGGGCAAAGGGCTGGTGTCTCCTCTGGACACTCAAGTGACTTTCTCATTTCCCAGGGTTGCCTTCCTTTTTCTATTTCATCTTGTACCTAATCTAATCCATTCAAAACTTGAAATGAATATATGTCCACGTGGAAGTAAACTGAGAAAATGCACACTTAACCATTGATTCCCTCATCTGCAACACAAAGTTACTAATGCACTTTATTTTGTTGTCTTATTTGTGTTCAGCTACCATACACTTTAAAATTTATTTTTGAAATCTAGATTCCATGCAGCTCTCAGGAGTTATACATAGAGATCATCTATCCCCTTCACCAAATTGTCCCCCATGGTGGGTAGCAACTTAACTATAGAGAGTATCCCCAAGGAGATGGAGATTGGTAGAGTCTATTAACCTTCCTTGGATGTCACAGATTTATATGCACATGATTATGTGTCTGTACTAAGTTCTGTACATTTGTGCCTTATAGAAGGTTTGTGATCTTTATGAAGATGCACTCAATTTTTATGACAATGAACCCTCATGCCTCTCTTTCAGAGGTTTCCATTTCTTCACATCCCTATCAACCATTAATCTCATCTCCAACTAAATATTTTTCCAGAATCTCATGTGATGGGAGGAGTGGTCATGAGCACAGACGAGGACCACCAGCAGAGGGGACAGACATGGGAGGCATGGCTCTTTGGGGTCCAATTGCCATTTGAGGTGTCACTGCAGACTGCTGTTGGCAGAGAGAAATCTGAGCAGAGGGAATCTTCTGGAAATGGTGGTTTCTTCTCCATGGAGGGTGAGAAAAGCCTCAAGTGGGCCATGAAGTGCCTTTTCTTTCTTTTTTTTTTAATTGAATTTTTGTGCATTTCATACATCTTAAACATATTTAGATTTCCTTCCTTATCTGCACCACCCCCCATAGCCCTCCTACCAGATTTCATGAATTCTGTTA